GACACAGTTACTTTTTGCTGATGATGCTGTGCTTATGGGAAATTCTAAAGAAAAATTGCAAAGGTTAGTGGATGAGTTTGGGAGTGTGTGTAAAGGTAGAAAGTTGAAAGTGAACATAGAAAAGAGTAAGGTGATGAGGGTATCAAATGGTTTAGATAAAGAAAAATTGGATATCAAATTGGGGAAGAGGAGTATGGAAGAAGTGAATGTTTTCAGATATTTGGGAGTTGACATGTCAGCGGATGGATTTATGAAGGATGAGGTTAATCATAGAATTGATGAAGGAAAAAAGGTGAGTGGTGCATTGAGGTATATGTGGAGACAAAAAAAAACGTTATCTATTGAGGCAAAGAAGGGAATGTACGAAAGTATAGTGGTACCAACACTCTTGTGTAGTCGTGAAGCTTGGGTTGTAAATGCCGCAGCGAGGAGGCGGTTGGAGGCAGTGGAGATGTCCTGTCTAAGGGCAATGTGTAGTGTGAATATTATGCAGAAAATTTGGTGTGAAAATTAGGAGAAGGTGTGGAGTTACTAAACTTATTAGTCAGAGGGCCAAAGAGGGGTTGAGGTGGTTTGGTCATTTAGAGAGAATGGATCAAAGAATGACTTGGAGAGCGTATAAATCTGTAGGGCAGGGGTTCCCAACCAGGGGTGCGAGACACCATTCCAGGGGGTGCGAGAAGTGTCAGTCTTAATAACAGGAAATTGATTCACTTATTACTTATTAATATTCAATAATCATAGTAAAATTACCATTATCTTTATTTTCATCTCTTTATTTCAGATTATCATTATAACCCTTCACCATGTCGAAGAAAAGGAAATGGAATGATGACTACGTTCGTTTTGGTTTCACTTGCAACGGAAAGACTGAGGATCTGCAAAAGCCTCGGTGCATAATCTGTGGAATTGTTTTCTCCAACGCTAATTTGAAGCCATCTAAGCTGCAAGAACACTTCAACAACCAACATGGTGGGGCCAGTGTTGCGGGCCATGATTTTAAGACGTTGCTGATGGCTTCATACCAAGTGGCGTACAAAGTAGCAAAGTCTAAGAAACCTCATACTATTGCAGAAGAGCTTATTAAACCATGTGCATTAGAAATGGCTACAACTATTCTCGGAAATGAAGCAAGAAAGAAGCTTGAATTAGTGCCACTGTCAAATAATGTTATTTGAAGCAGAATTGACGATTTGAGTTTAGATATTTTGGAACAAGTTATCTTGCATATGAAGGCTAGTCCCTTTAAAATCTCCCTTCAGTTGGACGAAACTACTGATGTTTCTAATTGCAGTCAACTTATTCCACTGGTGAGGTATGTTCATGATGGTGCCATAAAGGAGAACTTCCTTTTCTGTGAAGAACTGAAAACAACCACCAAAGCAAAAGATGTGTTTCAGTTTGTGAAAGACTTCTTTGCAAAATATGAATTGGATATCCAAATTATTGGATCTGTGTGTACTGATGGCACTCCTGCTATGCTGGGAAATAAATCTGGGTTTTTTGCACTGATGAAACAGGAGATTCCATACTTGCAAGGTACTCGCTGTTTCCTTCATCGTCATGCTTTGGCATCAAAAGCCTTGCCTCCAAAATTGAAGAAAGTCCTTGATACTTCAGTAAAGACCGTCAACTGGATTAAGGGTCGTGCTCAAAATCACCGCCTTTTTAAGTCACTTTGTGAAGATCTTGGAAGTGAACATAGTTTTACTTTTCGACACTGAAGTCCGATGGCTCTCCCATGGGAGAGTTTTAACCCGCTTCTTCGAACTACGAGAAGAAATCAGAGCATTTCTGAAGGAACGTTGCTGCGATCTGCTTGAAGAGTTGGAATTGCAAGAATTCAATCAAATCTTAGTGTATTTGAGTGACATATTCACTCGTATGAATGATCTGAGTTTATCACTTCAAGGTAAAAATATAAACATGCTGAATTGCTATGAAAAGCTAAATGCATTCAAAGATAAGTTATATCTGTGGTGTCAACGAGTGAAAAGAGGAAATCTTTAAAATTTTCCATCACTTGAAGAAATAGCTGATGGTAATGTATCTTCAAGTTTGATTCCTAGTGTTTGTGGAGAAATTGTGACTCATTTGGAAGTGCTGTCGGCGTCATTTGATAGATATTTTGATGTAGGGAAGCTGGAATCATCTGAAGAATGGATTATGAATCCTTACTCCTTCAATTTGGATAAAGTGTCAGATGATGGAGAGCTGAAAGAAGATCTTATAGATCTGCATTCAAATCGTGCTCTTGAAATGCAATTTGAGAGTAAAACTTTGGAGGAGTATTGGTGCTCGGCTATGGTTCTATTTCCAAGACTGAAACTGCACTAACTGTGCTCATTGCATTTGCGACAACTTACTTGTGTGAATCAGGATTTAGTACTCTTTTGTCAATTAAGACAAAATCTAGAAATCGTTTGAATGCACAGGCAGATATGCGTGTTGCTATCAGCAACATAGTTCCCCGTTTTGAAATACTCTCGAGCAAGAAACAGAAACAAAAGTCTTTTTTTTTTTTTTTTTTTTTTTTTTTTTTTTTTCCCCCAACAAGTCGGCCATCTCCCACCGAGGCAGGGTGACCCAAAAAAGAAAGAAAATCCCCAAAAAGAAAATACTTTCATCATCATTCACTTTCACCACACTCGCACATTATCACTGTTTTTGCAGAGGTGCTCAGAATACAACAGTTTAGAAGCATATACGTATAAAGATACACAACATATCCCTCCAAACTGCCAATATCCCAAAACCCCTCCTTTAAAGTGCAGGCATTGTACTTCCCATTTCCAGGACTCAAGTCTGACTATATGAAAATAACCGGTTTCCCTGAATCCCTTCACTAAATATTACCCTGCTCACACTCCAACAGATCGTCAGGTCCCAAGTATCATTCGTCTCCATTCACTCCTATCTAACACGCTCATGCACGCTTGCTGAAAGTCCAAGCCCCTCGCCCACAAAACCTCCTTTACCCCCTCTTTCCAACCCTTTCGAGGACGACCCCTACCCCTCCTTCCTTCCCCTATAGATTTATATACTTTCCATGTCATTCTACTTTGATCCATTCTCTCTAAATGACCAAACCACCTCGACAACCCCTCTTCTGCCCTCTGACTAATGCTTTTATTAACTCCACACCTTCTCCTAATTTCCACACTCCGAATTTTCTGCATAATATTTACACCACACATTGCCCTTAGACAGGACATCTCCACTGCCTCCAACCGTCTCCTCGCTGCTGCATTTACCACCCAAGCTTCACATCCATATAAGAGTGTTGGTACTACTATACTTTCATACATTCCCTTCTTTGCCTCCATAGATAACGTTTTTTGACTCCACATATACCTCAACGCACCACTCGCCTTTTTTCCCTCATCAATTCTATGATTAACCTCATCCTTCATAAATCCATCCGCCGACACGTCAACTCCCAAGTACAGTGGACCCCCGGTTAACGATATTTTTTCATTCCAGAAGTATGTTCAGGTGCCAGTACTGACCAAATTTGTTCCCATAAGGAATATTGTGAAGTAGTTTAGTCCATTTCAGACCCCCAAACATACACGTACAAACGCACTTACATAAATACACTTGCATAATTGGTCACATTGGGAGGTGATCGTTATGCGGGGGTCCACTGTATCTGAAAACATTCACTTCTTCCATACTACTCCTCCCCAATTTGATATCCAATTTTTCTTTATCTAAATCATTTGATACCCTCATCACCTTACTCTTTTCTATGTTCACTTTCAACTTTCTACCTTTACACACATTCTCAAACTCATTGAATTAAAATGGATTCGCAAACTTTTTGGAAGTTAGCCTTTTGATTTTATTATCTTGTACATATTTAAAGAAAGTAACTATTTTTTGTATGGTATATTCAAATGTTAATCGGAGACATCCTTTCTTGTCCATATGTTTGATTTTTTACATATTAAAAAAATAAAATTCCTTTCTAAATGTTGGAAAGCTAGTTCTTGATTTTACTTTTTTGTATATATTTCAAGCAAGAGTTATTATTTTTGTAAGGTGTATTCAAATATCATTCTGTGATATGTTTCTTTTCTGTAAGTCTGATTTTTGTTCACATATTATATTAGAAAGTGAAATAAATGTCTTCTTTTGATAAAATTTAGTATGATTCCATATCCTTTATCCTTGAACAAAGTTTAAATTGTAGGGGGTGCGAGGTTAGAGCAAAAATTTTATAGATGTGCAGGAGTAAGAAAAGGTTGGGAACCACTGGTGTAGGGGAAGGACGGCGGGGTAGGGGTCGTCCTTGAAAAGGTTGGAGGGAGCAGGTAAAGGAGCTTGGACTTCCAGCAAGCGTGCGTGAGCATGTTAGATAGGAGTGAATGGAGACGAATGGTATTTGGGACCTTACGAGCTAGGAGTGTGAGCAGGGTAATATTTAGTGAAGGGATTCAGGGGAACCGGTTATTTTTATATCGCCGGACTTGAGTCCTGGAAATGGGAAGTACAATGCCTGCACTTTAAAGGAGGGGTTTGAGATATTGGCAGTTTGCAGGGATGTGTTGTGTATCTTTATACGTATATGCTTCTAAATTGTTGTATTCTGGGCACCTCTGCAAAAACTGATTATGTGTGAGTGAGGTGAGTGTTGAATTATGATGAAAGTATTTTCTTTTTGGGGATTTTCTTTACTTTTTGGGTCACCCTACCTCGGTGGGAGACGGGTGACTTGTTGAAAAAAAAAAAATCACCAGAATGATGATAATCTGTTTTAATGAATGATCCTAAGAAGAGTTAGTCTTTCCTACCACCCAGCACAAGGTTGTATGCTAGGTTTTTGTGTAATTAATAATAATAATTACCTATGTACCTCATATTTCTTAGCATATACCATGTTTAGCACCCTAACGATTTTTTGGATCTAAATTAATACTACAGATTTTTTTACTCGTCAAATGTAACCCTGAAATACTGTAGGTGATGAATTTGCTATAACTATACATATTTTTCAGAATGGCATGGTCTGCACTGACTGGAAGAACATCAATGAAGATTGCTGGAAAAGGCCTCAAAATACTTTGGTGGAAGTTACAACCATTAGTTGTTGCAGCTGTTGTTGTTGTTGGTGCCATTCGGATCACCACATACATTAAAAGGCAGAATAGAAGGTATTGTTTTGCTAATGATACAGTTCTTGCATTTGAATTTGAACTTAATATGAAATGTGCATTAATAGTTGAGAATGTTATAATAAAAAGAATTTGGCAAGTTCTTTAGTCTCTGTGAGGCCAGCTTGGAGTAACTCAGAAGTTTTTGAAGGAAGTGAGATGCTGATCACTTTCAGAGATGAGGAACACAAGGTCACATGGTTTCTCAGATGATATGCTGAAGTACTGTACCAACATGCATTCCTCTTCACACAGAAATTTTTATTATTCTGATTTTTCACTTATTCAGATTAGTTTGCACTTGAAGGTATGTGAATGGCAGAAAATTCTGTAGTTTTTACAGTAACATTAATTGGAAACTTCGTATTACAACACGGAGAGAAAATGATCTACCTGGAGAGGATTTCGGGGGTCAATGCCCCAGTGGCCCGGTCTGAGACCAGGCCTCATGGTGGATCAGGGTCTGATCAACCAGGCTGTTCAGTTCATAATTTTGTAGAATATTCCACATTAAATATTCCTGAGAATAGTTTCTCTTGCTTTATTTGTAAAGTTCAGAATTTGAGAGATTTTCCTAATTAAAATTCTAATTTTTTACCAAAATATTGACCCTTTGACTGTTGAAACCCCAAATCCTGAGGTGTCTCCTAATGTCACAAAATATTTGGGAAAAAACAATTATTTTTTCTTATGAAATGATAGAGAATCTTTTCCCAATGGTAATGACACCAAAAGTATGAAATTTGATGGAAAACTTACGGAATTACGTTCTTGTGAAGTTAGCGACCTCGGCAATATTTATGAATCGGCGATTTCGCCCACTTTGAGCCCTATTTTTGGCTAATTCCATTGTTCCAGTCGACCAAACTCATAACTACCCAATAAAGTGGTCAGAAATTGGCAATTTGGCCAATTTCACGCAAATAAAAAAAATTGCCAATTTCAAAATACGGTCCAGAATGAACAGTGCAGACATTCTTGGTTCTAAAATAACATTTTCTTTGTTCATCAGTCACATCTCCAGGCCCCTCTGATACAGTGGACCCCCGCATACCGATGGCATCACATAACGATTAATCCGCATACCGCTTGCTTTAATCGCAAAAATTTTGCCTCGCATACCGCTTAAAAACCCGCTCGCCGATTTTCGTCCGAGACGCGTCCAATGTGCGGCCTGAGCCACGCTCACATGTTCCGCCGGTGGCATTGTTTACCAGCCAGCCTCCGCGGTAACATCCAAGCATACATTCGGAATATTTCGTATTATTACAGTGTTTTCGGTGCTTTTTCTGGAAAATAAGTGACCATGGGCCCCAAAAAAGCTTCTAGTGCCAACCCTACAGCAATAAGGGTGAGAATTACAATAGAGATGAAGAAAAAGATCATTGATAAGTATGAAAGTGGAGTGCGTGTCTCCGAGCTGGCCAGGTTGTATAATAAACCCCAATCAACCATCGCTACTATTGGTGGTACAGCTGCTGCTGCTGCTGCACTGTCAGCTGCTGCTGCTGCTGTAGCATCGTCTGCTGCTGCTGTAACATCGTCTGTTGCTGCTGTAGCATCGTCTGTTGCTGCTGTACCACCGTCAGCTGCTGCTGCTGCTGTAGCATCGTCTGCTGCTGCTGTAACATCGTCTGTTGCTGCTGTAGCATCGTCTGTTGCTGCTGTACCACCGTCAGCTGCTGCTGTAGCATCGTCTGTTGCTGCTGTACCACCGTCAGCTGCTGCTGCTGCTGTAGCACCGTTGTTGGTGTGGCTTATTGAGAATACCAAGAAACAATTAACCCCAGAGGATTTGTCACCCAGGATAACCCAAAAAAGTCAGTGTCATCGAAGACTGTCTAACTTATTTCCATTGGGGTCCTTAATCTTGTCTCCCAGGATGCAACCCACACAAGTCGACTAACACCCAGGTGAACAGGGAAAAATGCCTGGAACTAGTGCTCATATTGGTGAATTTAAAGCCAGCAAAGGTTGGTTTGAGAGATTTAAGAATCGTAGTGGCATACACAGTGTGATAAGGCCTGTTCTGGAAGAAAATGCCAAACAGGACCTACAGTACTCAGGAGGAAAAGGCACTCCCAGGACACAGTGTCTCATCAGTCATTGCTGCATCTTCAATAAAGGTAAGTGTCATTTATTCTTCATTTAGTAGACTAGTACATGCACAATATATACTGTGCATGTACTACTCTACTATTGTGCATGTATCCTTCTCTTTGTGTGTAGGAAAATGTATATTTCATGTGGTAAAATTTTTTTTTTCATACTTTTGGGTGTCTTGCACGGATTAATTTGATTTCCATTATTTCTTATGGGGAAAATTCATTCGCATACCGATTATTTCGCATAACAATGACCCCTCTTGCACGGATTAAAATCGGTATGCGGGGGTCCACTGTATTACTCTTGCTTTCTGTTTTGAATTTTTATACAAAAAAAAATAGATTTACTGCAATATTGTAATAATTGTATAAATAACATCAACCCATTCATGACTGCATATTAGAATGGCTAATTGGACATTTATTGGACAATGACATCATTTGTTTACTCTTGAACATCAAAAATCAAACATTTCCCCTACTTTGAGCTCCATTTCAAGGTCCTTTTCATAGTAAAACCAGTCAATCACCTCTATTTCTATAATATGTTTTCCATTCTATCAAATGTGACTACGAAAACGAGAATATAGCCATAAAATCTATACGAAAATACACCTCAAAATTGGCTCAATCTCAACCTTGTCAGCTCTATGGTTCACCTTATCTTCCATAGATTTGTTTGGTGACAAGTCCACTGCCAAGCATCTGAACACATTTACTGCCTCCATACTTCCTCCTACCATCCTGATATCCAGTCTTTCCCTACTTATATTTGTTGTTGCTCTCATCACTTTGCTCTTTCCTATGTTTATTTTTAATTTCCTTTTTTTATGCACTCTGTGCACACTTTTATAGTGTGATACAAGATTATACCCTAATAAGAAGGCCATCAAGTGGAACCTTCTTGTTTTTTCAACCCACACATTTATTAAGCTTTCTGTTTTATTTAGCTGTAATGACATATTTCTCATCTTATTATAATATTATTATCATCATCTTTTCATGTCACACTGAGCATTACTCTTTGCACAAAATTTTATTTTCATCTCATTGTCTGAAACTGAACGAATAGTAGATTCTTTAACATCAAACTCTTGTGTCTCCATGATGTGTTCGCTACCTTTCATCATCTCAAATAGGCATAGTTGCATGCTTAATTTACTTCCTTGCTTCGCCAATGTCACCTGCACTTCATTTGGATTCCATGATAAATATCCAGAGAGAAGATGAGGATGATGAAAAGAAGGAAAAACTGAGTGATGATATACACTGACCTGTGTGAAAGGTTGATTGTTTGCATCCGTTCACCCTCCCTCACACACTCCCCTGCACCGTTAAAACAATAGTTGTCCAATACCTAGTTATGGGTCTTCTGCCTCACTGCCATGGTGGTCCTTAATGGAAATGCATGCCACCATTGGAAATGAACTCTGCTCTGGTGTGCCTTAATGAAAATGGTACACTTCTATGGGAAATGAAAACCTGAATTTAAATTGAAGAATATGAAATATGAACTATGATCATACAACTTAAGATTTTCTACTGAGAAATATTTTCCTAATTTTGGGAGAATTATGAATGAAGTCAGTTACTGCATCAGGAATTGTAAATTATTTTAAGAACTTGATTTTAATTATGCTCTTTATGCACATATAAAACTAAAGTTTTTTCCAACAGGAAGAAGTGGAACAATGCCGGTAAGGATTTTGTGGTGTTGCACATGTTTCCACGTGGACACTTTAGTCCAAGTCTCTCTCCATTCGTGGTAAAGCTGGAGACCTATCTGCGGATGGCTGAGATCCCCTACCAGGTGAGTTGCATATCAACCATTAGTAAACTAGGTTTACAAAAGATAGGGTATGAGCCACTCCAGCTTCATTCAAATTTTGGAGGATTTGCCAAACTTTAGAGGAAACTAGGACTTGGGTAAAGCTGGTCAGGCCTGAGTTTAACCCTTTCACTGTCGATGACGTATAGGTACGTCTTAAGAGCCAGTGTTGGTGACGTATTAATTCTAGTGGCTTCAGATCTGCAAGAGAAAGCTTGTAGACCTACATGTGAAAGAATGGGTCTGCATGGTCGGTGTGTGCAGTATAAAAAAATTGGGGCACCCACATTGCATTGTGGGAACGCTATTTCAGTAGTCCTTACTTACGTCTCGCAGTAAGAAATATCTCGCTCCCCAGCGAATTTGGGACTCTTCTCCTCCCAATTGATAGATCTAACACAGATGGAAGTGTCAGTGAACATGAATTTCATGGTTTTGAGGAGTTTGTGACCGAAAGCAGTGCCCAAGATGCCAGAAATAGTGCTGAAAACCCAGACAACCATCAGCCTAGGATAACCCAAAAAAGTCAGTGACTTATTTCCATGTGGGTGGTGGGGAAGACAGTATGGGTAATGTTACAATTGGGATGGTATATACGTGCAGCAGCAGGTGGTGGTGTAATGCATCATGTACCCAGGCTGGTAGCCATACCGCTGACTCAGCACATCCACAATAGAGGCCAGCTTCAACCACCCACACACCACAATAACCTGCACAACCACATTACCACAACACCCAGCACAACCACAACACCCTGCACAACCACAACAACCCACCAACAAAAATGCACAGACACTCGTTTTGTGTGTGAAGAGTGTAAAACAGCACTGTGTACAACACCACGTTTCAAAGAGTTCCACAAACTGTAGCATTCTAAGAACATGTCCAGTGACTCTATATTTATACAAATAACCCGCACATAGAAGAGAGGAGCTTATGATGACGTTTCAGTCCAACTTGTAAAATGCTCCAAACTTCAGAACACCCGTGACTTAACCTGATTACTCCTTTTTTCTTCTCTCTCTTCCCCTTTCCTCTTTCCTTTTTCTCTTCTGGGTTGTCTTTCTTTCTTCTGCCTTGTGTTTCTGTTCCTTCATTATTTATTTTATTCCCCCCACCTCTGTGTTCTTGCTCTCCCTCTATGGGCACCTAGCTCCCTTGCAGTGCTCTCCTTTCTTAGTTTTTGACTGGCTCCTCCTCCTTTCTTTGCTGCTGCTGCTTTCTTTTTTTTCTTTTTTCTTTTTTTTTTTTTTTTTTTTTTTCTTTTTTTTCTTTTTTTTCTGTTTTTTTTTTTTTCTTTCTTTTTTTTTCTTTTTTTCCTTTTTTTCTTTTTTTTTCTTTTTTTTTCTTTTTCTTTTTTTTTTTTTTCTTTTCTTTTTTATGGTCCCAGTTGGACTGAAACGTCGTCGTAAGCTATGTGCAGGTTATTTGTGTATCATTCCAGTCACGGTATTGTGCCGTTTTTATTATTTGTTGACTGTGTGTGTGTGTGTGTGTGTGTGTGTGGTGTGTATATTTTTTTTTTTTTTGTTTTGTTTTTGTGTGTTATTTTAGAACAATACTAAAACTTTTTTTTATTGTTGGTTTGTGTAAGCAAGTTTTGTAAACATTGTAATGATAATATTTGTGGTTATTGTGCTGCATATAGCGATTGGATATATATATATATACATTACACATTATATTGGTCTCACAGGCCACAAAAGATACTTGGAAAAAATAAAATATTAAAAAATAGAATAAAAGTAAAAATATTACCAAGTGAGCGGTTCACTTTCAACTTCACGCCTCTATATCTCACAATTATATCACATAAATGTTAAACCTAAAACCCAATCTAACTTTATTATTTTTTAAATACACTACCTAACAGAATACTCCATTCTACTGAATTTACAACAATGCATGCAACCATATGACCTGTCTTTGTAATACTCACTTGTGCTTTATAGTAATCTGTTTACATTAATGTTTTTCACTGATTTCATCATTGCTTAGTTAATCTTAAGTTAATTTTAAGCCAGCCGTAATGCTATGCATAGTATAAGTGGCTTTGGCATGCTGCTCTTATCTGTATTTTTTTTGTACCTCTGTATGTGTGCTCAAATTATAAATAAATAAATAAATAAATAAATAAAAGTACTGATCACAAAAAAAAAAAATTCTCTTAAAACACTCGGGAAAATATTCTTAAGGTTTTAAGTTTTTTTTTTTTTTTCTTGAAACTGAGAGCACGTTTGTGATGAGGCCTGTCAACAGTGAAAGATTTAAAGAGGTTTGGATTCTTTTACTTACACTACAATGTATATTTTAAAAAAATCTAATCATTTAAATTTTTTATATACATTAATGAAATGCACGCTTAGACTTCCAGCAGGCGTGCGTGAGCGTGTTTGATAGGAGTGAATGGAGACGAATGGTTTTTAATACTTGACGTGCTGTTGGAGTGTGAGCAAAGTAACATTTATGAAGGGGTTCAGGGAAAGGCAGGCCAGACTTGAGTCCTGGAGATGGGAAGTACAGTGCCTGCACTCTGAAGGAGGGGTGTTAATGTTGCAGTTTAAAAACTGTAGTGTAAAGCACCCTTCTGGCAAGACAATGATGGAGTGAATGATGGTGAAAGTTTTTCTTTTTCGGGCCACCCTGCCTTGGTGGGAATCGGCCAGTGTGATAATAAAATAAATTAATGAAATGCATCTACTGTATATTGAAAGACTTTTCCCTATAGTCTACTCTCACCCTTTTTAATAAATTGGCATAATACTTAGTAGATTTCAGGCTGTACATGTTTATAGAGGGGCTGCAGATATGTCAGATCACTTTCTAGTTGTAACTACAGTGAGAGTAAAAGGTGGATGGGATACAAGGAAAATAGAAACAGCAAGTAAGAGAGAAGTGAAGGTGTATAAACCAAAAGAGGAGGCAGTTAGGGTAAGATATAAACAACTATTGGAGGATAGATGGGCTAGTGAGAGTATAGGCAATGGGGTCGAAGATGTATGGGGTAGGTTTAAGAATATTAGTGTTACTGTTCAGCAGAAGTTTGTGGTTACATAAAAGTGGGTGCAGGAGGAAAGAAGAGCAATTGGTGGAATGATGTAAAGAGAGTAGTAAGGCAGAAAAAGTTAGCAAATGAGAGGTTTCTACAAAGTAGAAGTGATGCAAGGAGGGAAGAGTATATGAATAGAAAGAGTGGTGAAGCAGTATAAAAAGATAGCAAATGAGAGAGTGGGTGAGATGTTATCAACAAATTTTATTGAAAATAAGAAAAAGTTTTGGAGTGAGATTAATAAATTGAGGAAGCCTAGGGAACAAATGGATTTGACAGTTAAAAATAGTAGAGGAGAGTTATTAAATGGAGAGTTAGAGGTATCGTGAAGATGGAGGGAATATTTTTAGGAATTGTTAAATGATGAAGATAGGAAAACTGTGATTTTGTGTACAGGGCAAGGAGGAATAACATCTTGTAGGAGTGAGGAAGAGCCAGTTGTGAGTGTGGGGGGGGGATTCATGAGGCAGTGGGTAGAATGAAAGGGGATAAGGCAGCTGGGATTGATGGGATAAAGATAGTAATGTTAAAAGCAGGTAGGGATATGGTTTTGGAGTGGTTGGTGCTATTATTTAATAAATGTATGGAAGAGGGTAAGGTACCTAGGGATTGGCAGAGAGCATGCATAGTTCCTTTGTATAAAGGCAAAGGGGATAAGAGAGTGCAAAAATTATAGGGGAATAAGTGTTGAGTTCTAGATAGTAGGTTGGTAGACAGCAACTGCCCAGGGAGGTACTACCGTCCTGCCATGTGAGTGTAAAACGAAAGCCTGCAATTGTTTTACATGATGGTAGGATTGCTGGTGTCTTTTTTTTTTTTTCTGTCTCATGAGCATGCAAGATTTCAGGTACGTCTTGCTACTACTTCTTACATTTAGGTCACACTACACATACATGTACAAGCATATATATACACACCCCTCTGGGTTTTCTATTTTCTTTCTAGTTCTTGTTCTTGTTTATTTCCTCTTATCTCCATGGGGAAGTGGAACAGAATTCTTCCTCCGTAAGCCATGCATGTTGTAAGAGGCGACTAAAATGCCAGGAGCAAGGGGCTAGTAACCCCTTCTCCTGTATAAATTACTAAATTTGAAAAGAGAAACTTTTGTTTTTCTTTTTGGGCCACCCTGCCTCGGTGGGATACGGCCGGTTTGTTGAAAGAAAGAAAAAAGTCTGTTGAGTATACCTGGGAAAGTGTATGGTAGTTATTATTGCAAGAATTAAGAGTAAGACAAAGAGTAGGATAGCAGATGAACAAGGAGGCTTCAGGAAAAGTAGGGGGTGTGTAGACCAAGTGTTTACAGTGAAACACAGGTGAACAGTATTTAGATATGGGTAAAGAGGTTTTTGTGGCATTTATGGATTTGGAAAAGGCATATGACAGGGTGGATAAGGGGCCAATGTGGCAGATGTTGCAGGTGTATGGTATAGGAGGTAGGTTACTGAAAGCAGTGAAGAGTTTTTATGAAGACAGTGGGGCTCAGGTTAGAGTATATAGGAGAGAGGGAGATTATTTCCCAGTAAAAGTAGGCCTTAGACAAGGATGTGTGATGTCACCATGGTTGTTCAGTATATTTATAGATGGGGTTGCAAGAGAAGTGAATGCGAGGGTCTTGGCAAGAGGTGTGGAGTTAAAAGATAAAGAATCAAACACAAAGTGGGAGTTGTCACAGTTGCTCTTTGCTGATGACACTGCTTTTGGGAGATTCTGAAGAGAGGTTGCGGAGGTTGGTGGATGAATTTGGTAGGGTATGTAAAAGAAGAAAATTAAAAGTGAATATAGGAAAGAGTAAGGTTATGAGGATAAAAAGATTAGGTGACAAAAGATTGGATATCAGATTGGAGGGAGAGAGTATGGAGGAGGTGAATGTATTCAGATATTTGGGAGTGGACATGTCAGCAGATGGGTCTATGAAGGATGAGGTAATCATAGAATTGATGAGGGGAAAAGGGTGAGTAGTGCACTTAGGAGTCTGTGGAGACAAGAACTTTGTCTGTGGAAGCAAAGAGGGGAATGTATGAGAGTATAGTTGTACCAACACTCTTGTATGTGTGTGGAGTATGGGTGATGAATGTTGCAACGAGGAGGAGACTGGAGGCAGTGGAGATGTCATGTCTGAGGGCAGTGTGTGGTGTGAATATAGTCCAGAGAATTCGTAGTTTGGAAATTAGGAGTAGGTGTGGGATTACCCAAACTATTATCCAGAGGGCTGAGGAGAGGTTGTTGAGGTGGTTCGGACATGTAGAGAGAATGGAGCAAAACGGAATGACTTCGAGAGTGTATAAATCTGTAGTGGAGGGAAAGCGAGGTAGGGGTCGACCTAGGAAGGGTTGGGGGTAGGGGGTAAAGGAGGTTTTGTGTGCAAGGGGCTTGGACTTCCAGCAAGCATGTGTGAGTGTATTTGATAGGAGTGAACTGGAGACAAATGGTTTTTAATACTTGATGTGCTGTTGGAGTGTGAGCAAAGTAACATTTATGAAGGGATTCAGGGAAACCGGCAGGCTGGACTTGAGTCCTGGAGATGGGAAGTACAGTGTCTGCACTGTATTTGTGAGGCAGTTATTAAATATTTTCCACTTTTTTTTTTTTTTTTTACATGTGATGTTTTGTCTGTTTCAGCTCCTTGAATTTTCATGATGTCAATAGTAATTCCCTTTCTTTTGCAGTCACTTCTAGCTCATATAAATCTGTTGTTTCTTGACATTTAAAATAGCTATTTTATACTTCACATGCATCTAATTTGCCCCCTATTTTTCATTTTATAATATTTGTATTATGTCTTGTAGTTATATTACTGCAATATTTATACATTTCAATGGTAATTTATGTTAAGCACTCAGTATTATTCAAAACCTTTCATTATCATTAAATGAAAGATTTAGAAAGTAATTTCTGCATGAGCTTCCATGCTTTAAATGCTTTTGCTTGAAATTTTTTTGTTTTAGGTCGATTATGATGAGCCATTCGGACCAAAGGGTAAATGTCCATGGATTACACTCAATGGGGAAGAAATAGGAGATTCTCAGCTGATAATGGAGAGGCTGGGCTCAATGTATAACAAGAATTTCAGTTCTGCTTTAACGCAGGAACAGAAGGCGGTTGCTCAAGCCATGAGAATAATGGTTGATGAACACTTAGTTTGGTAAGTTGGTTTTATTTTTGTTTTATTCTTTTTACTGTACAGGATTAAAATGTTTATGCAAATTCTTTCAAATGTCTTTTGGTTGAGATTTTTATATGTAAAGATTGCTGTACAGCCTCTCCTCGCTTAACAACGGGGCTCCGTTCCTAAGAGTAGGTTGGTAAGCGAATTGGTTGTTAAGCAAAGAGCATACTATACTACTGGTACAGTGGAACCTCGGTTTTCGTCATTCGTTCCAGAAAGTCTGACAAAAACCGAATTCGAGGAAAACTGAAGCAATATTTCCCATAAGAAATAATGTAAATCCAATTAATCCATTCCAGACACCCAAAAGTATTAACAAAAAATACATTTTATGGAGAATAACTATAGTTTTTACATACAGAAAACAATGAGAAATAAATATAAAGGACTAATGAAATGGATAAATGAACATTTAATATCACTTTTACCTTTATTGAAGATTTGTTGGCGTATGGAAGACGCGAGGAGGGGAGAGGGAGGAGGAGAGGTTATTGGTTGGAAGGGGAATCCCCCTCCATAAGGACTTCAGGTATAAAATCCCTATCTGGGGTTACTTCCCTTCTTTGTCTTTTACTGGCACCTGACCCCTGTCACACAAAAAATCTGTTCAGAGAGGTCTGTTTCTGGCATCTTTTAAATTTGCCTAAAATGGGACAAGGCATTGTCTTTGTCTTTGAACATGTTGTAGACACTGCTTGCAACAGCTTTATTAGGGTGATATTTCTCCACAAAACTTTGCACACACGTTCTTAATCACTGAAGAAGGCACATTCTCCCCTCTCTCTTCCTCCTCTGAAGCAATTTCCTCAGCTGCGATCTGTTGCTGTTCCAGTTGAAGGTGTTGCAGCTCTTCAGCGGTTAGCTCTTCCCTGTGATCGTCCACCAACTCTTCCACATCTTGGCCACTTGCATCCAACCCCATACTTTTCTTCGAGTTCCTTCTTGAATTCTATCGTGTTTCTTTCCTTTATCAAAGGGTTGGCACTCTGAACTTTCTTTGGCCCCATGGTGGTTTATTTAGCAGTCACACTCAATAAACAGGCACAAGAAACAATGGATTGTTATGAAATGTTTCGGATGAACGCACAGGGTAATACTCACTTGACGAGAAACAAAGCCAGACTGATTCAGAATGTGTGGGATGCTTTGTGGGCACGGGCAAGCGGACACATTTGGTACGATGGACCAATGAAAACTGAGGTGTTGAACGAAAACTAGGACAAAATTATGACGCGGTTGTTGAAAAGCAAATTCAACGAAAACCAGGGCAAACAAAAACCACGGTTCCACTGTAGTAGGTTTGTGTCAACCATCTTTAGATATTTTTTAAATGTCACCTTTGCACCATTTATAACCTTTCTGGCATATTTTTAAATGTTTATACAGTACAGCCTCTCCTCACTTAACAACGGAATTCTGTTCCTAAGACCACATCATTAAACGAATTCATCGCTAAGTGAGGAGAATACTATAATGGTAGTGGGTTTGTGTCATCAATCTTTAATATTGTTTTAATGTCAATTTTGCATCATTTATAAAATTTCTGGAATATTTTTAAATGTTTATACAGTAGCTTACTGTACGTATATTGAAATAAGCAGAATAGGGGAAATCAGCTCTAATATACATCATTTAGGTATAAGTACTGGTCAGAAAGTCCGTCGTAAGTCCGAGGCATCGGTAAACGAGTACATCACTAAGTGAAGAGAGGCTGTAGTTAATTTTATACACACTGTAATAAACAAAATAGACGAAATCACCTGTTATATACGTTATTTAGGGTTGCATACTGGTTAGATATCTGGCCGTAAGTCTGAGTGATCGGTAAACGAGTACGTCGCTAAGTGAGGAGAGGCTGTAGTTAAGATCTTTTTTTTTTTTATAGAATGGAGAGATTGTTTACTGTAAAAAGTTTCTTGTAGACAATAGTTGCTTAATTTTTGACAAATTCCCCCAAAACATGTTCTTGTTGTTGCTTTGGAAGCTTTATATTTAACACATAAGGCTGCGGTAGTCTTGGGCTACACCTTTGTTCAAGATGCTTGTGATCTGACTGGCATTTTCTGAATAGCCAGCTTTGTTTTCTGGTGATTCAGAAAATTCCAGTCAGCTTGCAGCGTCAACCATATATCAGTCTGAATGTGACTAGACAGGTTTACTTGTATTTATTGCTTATGTTTGCTTTTGACTTTTAGATGTTACAGTACTGTAATAACAAACTTGCATTATACTTACATTCTTAACATTTGTAATAAGTTTTGTGTAACAAACCGATTTCTTTAATATACAGGTGCCTAGTAGTTTGGCGCTACATTGTTGATGGTGGTCGCTCATTACTGGCTTGCATGGAGTGGCCTCGTTTTACACGCCTTTTTATTCCAAGATTAAAGTATAAAATAGAAAAAGTAGCCAAATTGCAAGGTATTGGGCGACATAGCAGCACTGAAGTAGAGGAGATGGGGAGGAAAGATATAGCTGCACTCTCTGTTTATCTCGGTAAATAACTGTTTTATATTTATTATTGTAAATGATGCACGTACTGTAGGGACTGGACGACACAAAAAATTTTGCCCATGCTGATACTTAATTTTAGGTTGGTGCCAATACCACAAAATTAGCCAATACTCACCAATATTGATACCATCAAAAGCAGCTAATGCCCACCAATACTGATGCTCGATTTTAGATGATACCTATGCCATCAAAATTAGATTACTGTATACCCACCAATACCATAGCACACCTTTATTGTTTTCAGTTTTTCGTATCTTTTTATTTCTTACTCCCACCTTAAGAAATTCCTGTTCAATGTCTGTCCTTCCATTCTCATAGATTTCTCTACTTTGGCATTGCATTATCTCTAGGCACTCCTATTGATGCACCTAGGCCTGTAGACTAAAGTCTTGAAGTCCTTTTCTCGAGTTGAGCATGGTGCTGTCATTCTCTTGTATGTAAAAAGTACTTGATGCACTCTGTCACTATTTTTACCGCAGATTTCATCCTGTCCTCAAATTCCCACTGATGCTGTCACCTTACTTTGTGATGGGGTTTGAGTGGCTTAGCCTAAGAAAGAACTCTCACCCTTTCCCCCTCCATTCTTTTGGCATAAATTATGGGGAATTTTTCCCCCTTTTGTCTAAATTTTCTCACAACTGACTGATGACATGGAACAATTTATGGGCATGGATTATGGATTATGAAAATAGATTTCGAAGAGTTTTACTTGCATTGTGATAATGGTTTATGTAAAATGTGAGTGAATCGGTTACAACAGTAACAAGTTGGTGGTGGTAATGTAAATTTATTAGTGTTCATAACGGAATACATGTGTTTAACCCTTTGACTGTTTCAGGCCCCTCACTGAAACTGTCATTCTATGTTGCCAAATATTCAAAAAAAAAAAAAAATTATTTTTTCTTATGAAAATGTTAAGATTATTTTTCTGAGTGTTTTAGTCCAAAAAAAAAAAATTTTGCCATCGGTACTTACCGAGATATAGAGCCGTGAAGTTTGCAGAAAATGAGCCGCGTATGGCAACAGCGGCGACTGCCGCTCACCCGGTAAACTTTAGTTTACTTGTAATTGAAGGTTTTTTGTTTTTTTCACTATTTTATTTTTTCACATAACTTATGTGGCCTATGAGACCAAAGTAAGGTGCAATGTATATATATACACTCGTTGTATACAACACAATAAGCACACAAACATAATTATCAATATATTGTTTACAAAACTTGTTTACAAAAACAAACAAACAATCCTCCTCCTCCTCCTCCTTCTCCTCCTTCTCCTCCTCCTCCTCCTTCTCCTCCTCCTTCTCCTCCTTCTCCTCCTTCTCCTCCTTCTCCTCCTCCTCCTCCTCCTCCTCCTTCTCCTTCTCCTCCTCCTTCTCCTCCTCCTCCTTCTCCTCCTCCTTCTCCTCCTCCTTGTCTTGTATGGGAGTGTGTGGCTTATAATTGTTTAGAGTCAGAAGTCGGCAGCTGTCAAAGTGACATATTGTCTCATTACTCTCTCCCCCTACCGCCTGTCAAAACAATGGGGTCGGATGCTGCTTCCCCTCCTCCATTCTATCTAATTATCTTTCTCCCTCATTCTATATCTTTCAATCTGTCTCTCTTTCTATCTGTCTGCCTATCTCTGTCTCACAGGTACACATAAATACAAGTATACATAGTGTAAATTACCTAGGATAACCCAAGAAATCCAGACAAAGTGCTATACTCTGCTTGAAGATGTGAGTAAACGTGATGACACAGTCTTGTGGCTCTCTCTGAGACAGAGAGCTAGATGGACAGACAGGGAGCTTGACAGACAGACAAATAGACAGACAGAAATGTTTGTGTACCAGCAAAAACAAAGGGAGGGCGATGGTCATGTAATATTACCCTCCTTTACGCTCATCAAAGTCAGCTCTTATCAGATGTTATCTCCCCTTATCTTGTCACTGTCATGGGGTGGACTTTTTTTTTTCTTGCTTCAAGGGAACAATATTATTACATCTTCTTCCTCCTCCTCCTCCTCCTCTTCTCCTCCTCCTCCTCCTCCTCCTCCTCCTCTTCCTCTTCCTCCCCTCCTCCCCCTCCTCCTCCTCCATTGCTTTTGGTCTCAAACTCCTCCAAATCATGAAATTGATCTTCACTGACACTTCCATCTGTGTTAGAGCATCACTTGGGAAGAGAAGAGTCCCAGATTTGCTGGGGAATCACATATTTCTTACCGCTAGACATGCTGAAAAAGGACAACTGAAATGGCATTCCCACAATGCACCACTGGCTCCCCGATTTTTTTTATATGGTGCACACTGACCATGGAGACCCATTCTCTCACATGTGGGCCTACCAGCTTTCTCCTGCTTGATTTGAAGCTGCTAGAATTTATGCGTATAAATACGTCAGAAACATTGGCTCGTAAGACGTATTTATACGTCGGAAACAGTCAAAGGGTTAAAGATCTGAATAACCAAAAGGTTCTAGTGTGTTGTAAATAAAATAATTTTTTTTTTTTTTTTTTAACAAGTTGGCAGTCTCCTACCGAGGCAATAAGTTAGCTATTTAAGAAAGTATGTCAACATGTGCTAATTTATAAATCAAAACATAACTGACTTTAATTTTAAGACATCTGCTGTTCCATTGGCCATACAGTACTTTCAAAATGCATATCATGAATCAGTGATAGTCTAACTAACCAAATTTAACTACAGTCGCTCACTTATGAACATGTTCGGTTCCGAACGGTCGTTCATAAGTCCAACATATGTACATGTATGTACATGTATACAGTATACATGAACACAGGAAAAATACATACTGTAAACTAGTAAACAAACTAATTAAAGTTTATAATGTTTATGTAAATAATATAAATTTAATAAAACAGATGGTGAGAAGGTGTTGGCCTGAATGTCATAGCATCTGAAGTCGATGGCACTGATTCAGGCTTCTGGCGAGACTCGTTACCTTTGTCTACCCTCTTGAAGAGGTGGTCTAGGGTTGTCTGGGTGGTGGCCTTCTTCTCTTCATAGATGAGATGGTAGCAGTGAAATGCATCATGGACAGCTGCTGAAACCTTAGTGTACCATTTCACATTTAGGTCCTGTGATTGAAACAATGACAGATTCTTCAAGCAGACGAAGCCCCTCTGCCATTACCTTTGTCTGGAAGTGCTCTACTTTATTATGTCCACTCTTGTTTCCATTGTGATGACCTGGCACATCTTAGCACTACCACCTGCATCACCACTTCTTTGGTACTTAATACCTGACATACTGGGAGTATAATAATCACAAATAACACTGAATTTGTGGAGAGCACAAACACACACATGAATGATGCCACTAGAGTAACCTACTACGTATTGTTTATATCTCTGTGCTTCCCATGCTACATTGCTGCCACCGCACAACAGACTGTGACTTAAATCTTGTGTCCAAATTTTTTACTTTAGGGCAGATTGTTCATATTATTGAAAGTTTGCAACACAAAATGTTCGTGTGCAGGGGAGTGTCTGTACTATACCAATGTAAAGACAACTTGTGGGGTAAAAACTTCACAAATGCATGCATAATGCAAAATGAACACATCTGACCAGCAATTGGACATTTATTAATGCATGTTTTTCTGTTAATACCGTGTTCATCTGACCGCCCTCAGTTTGTTTGCATTGTTTACATTCTCTGCATTTCATTCTCTCCCGTTTATGATGATAATGACAATAATAACAAAAGTTACAATAAAAAGGAGTCGTAAGCCTCTTACTTTCAATGTCAAGTTAGAAATGATTAAACCATACCATAGGCAGGGATAGAACCCACAGTCAGAGAGTCATAAAACTCCAGATCGATGCGTTATGACTCTCCGACCGTAGGTTCTATCCCCACCCGTGGTATGGTTTGTTTGCAAGCGTGTCATTACGATTTCGTGAGTTTAGAAATTATTAAACACAGTGAAGAAGGTATGTTGATGGCAATATAATTATAATCACTCTGGGGCACTTTTAATGTCATATATTATATTATTATAGACATTTTCATTAATCCATCTGACATTTTTTTCAAAATTATATAAATATGCTACATATCATACACACAAAATATATACAATCATTGTAAAACAAATAAACATAATTGTGAAGGGTGATAGCCAGGCAGACTACCACATCTGACTTCCTACAATAAATACTACTCACCTCTTACCCTACATTAAGACTACAGATATTTTAAGGTAAGTAATAAGTGTATTGTATGTACACTTTACTTTTATTTTTATGCCTAGTTCTATTGCTAATACATATGATAGTGTAAACATGTTATCAGGCATTTAAAAGTGAAAATGAGTGATTCGCTTTACTTTGATTCTCTCTCTACAGCGATAACCTGGAACCTAACTCGCTGTATAAGCGGGGCCCTCCTATACCTTGGCACACCCTTTTACTGTTGTATTTTTCATACTCTGTTCAGGTTTTACAAATTGAGTGAGTACAAATAGAAAGTGCATCTGTCTTGTGCTCAGCAGATGGAGCATCAAGCCACTTCCACGTCTTGCACTGAATGACCTACATGGGTTTAGTGTTTAACATGAATTATTTGTTATTTTTATATCGAATTAGGAAGCTCAAAAATTATAATTTTATGGTTGCATACTCAATTTTATATGTATTTGTAAAAGATTTTTAATAAGTAAGTTTTAAGTATTACTAATATGCAGGGTTATAAAAGGTGTAGGAATCCTGAAATTGAAACTGATTTTTTTTTTAACAAGTCATCCATCTCCCACTGAGGCAGGGTGACCCAAAAAGAAAGAAAATCCCCAAAAAGAAAATACTTTCATCAATCATTCAACACTTTCACCTCACTCACACTTAATCAACGTTTTTGCAGAGGTGCTAAGAATACAACAGTTTAGAAGCATATACGTATAAAGATACACAACATATCCCTCCAAACTGCCAATATCCCATACCCTTCCTTTAAAGTGCAGGCACTGTACTTCCCGATTTCCAGGACTCAAGTCCAGCTATATAAAAATAACCGGTGTCCCTGACTCCCTTCACTAAATATTACCCTGCTCACACTCCAACAGCTTGTCATGTCCCAAATACCATTTGTCTCCATTCACTCCTATCTAACACGCTCATGCACGCTTGCTGGAAGTCCAAGCCCCTCGCCCACAAAACCTCCTTTACCCCCTCCCTCCAACCTTTTCAAGGACGACCCCTACCCCACCTTCCTTCCCCCTACTTTGATCCATTCTCTCTAAATGACCAAACCACGTCAACAACCCCTCTTCAGCCCTCTGACTAATACTTTTATTAACTTCACACCTTCTCCTAATTTCCACACTCCGAATTTCCTGCATAATATTTAAACCACACATTGCCCTTAGACAGGACATCTCCACTGCCTCCAACCATCTCCTTGCTGCAGCATTTACAACCCAAGCTTCACACCTATATAAGAGTGTTGGTACCACTATAATTTCATACACACCCTTCTTTGCATCCATAGATAACGTTTTTTTGTCTCTACACATACCTTAATGCACCACTCACCTTTTTTTCCTTCGTCAATTCTATGATTAACCTCATCCTTCATAAATCCATCCACTGACACGTCAACTCCCAAATATCTAAAAACATTCACTTCTTCCATACTCCTCCTCTCCAATTTGATATCCAATTTTTCTTTATCTAAATCATTTGATACCCTCATCACCTTACTCTTTTTCTATGTTCACTTTCAACTTTCTACCTTTACGCACACTCCCAAACTCGTCCACTAACCTTTGCAATTTTTCTTTAGAATCTCCCATAAGCACAGTATCATCAGCAAAAAGTAACTGTGTCAATTCCCATTTTGTATTTGATTCCCCATAATTTAATCCCACCCATCTCCCGAACACCCTAGCATTTACTACTTTTACAGCCTCATCTATAAATATATTAAACAACCATGGTGACATTACACATCCCTGTCTAAGACCTACTTTTACCGGGAAGTAGTCTCCCTCTCTTCTACACACCCTAACCTGAGCCACACTATTCATAAAAACTCTTTACAGCATTTAGTAGCTTACCACCTATTCCATATACTTGCAACATCTGCCACATTGCTCCCCTATCCACTCTGATTATATATTCTTAAATTTCAGGGAACAACCAGTACATGATGGGTGATAACCCAACTGAGTTGGATTGTTCTGTCTTTGGCATGCTCTCGCAAATTGTCTGGAATTCTCCAAACTCTCCATACATCAGGATGTTCAACAGTAAGTTGCTTTGTCAAGTTTCAAATAATTAGTCACAGATCAAAAACTGTAAGTGTGTTTTATTTAAGATTGTAGTGTCTATAATTGTATAATTCAGAGGGTTAAGGAGGGGTTGTTGAGGTGATTTTGGGTATGTAGAAAGGATGGAGAGGGCTAGGATGATACTGTGTAAATCTGTGGTGGAAGGTAGCAGGGGTAGGGGTAATAGCAGTGAGAGGGAGGGACTAAAAGAGGCTTTGAGTGTTAGGAGCCTGAGAATCAAGCAGGCTTGTGTGTATGTTAAATAGGAATAAATAGAAAAGTGGTTTTAATGGACATGCTGTTGGAGCTTAAACTTCATTTCTTTTAGGAAATTGTAATAATGATTTTCAAGTGTTCAAAAACACTAAAATTTTAACTGAGAGGTAATAAAATACTGTTATTTACTCACAGGCGAATTCACCAATCTTAATGCATACTGCCAACACATGAAGGAAAAGTTTTGGCCTGACTGGAATGAGTGCCTTAAACCACCGCTGCCCAGCTCTCAGTAGCAGATATCTTGAGAAAGGCGAATGTAAGTTATTGCATATTGTAAAATGAAGAAAATGTGGGCATTGCATATAATGAATTCTAGAAAGATTGTAGTGCCAAATTATTATTCAGTTTTGTTGCACCGTTTTAATTAGAGGTTGGAAAAAAAAAGTTTATTTTAAATGTTGCAAGTTCTTGAATATTTAGCATTGGTAATGTTGCCATGTAGAAAACTGCAGAAAGACAGGTATAAGAGTACCATGGTATAATTTTGTTTATAAATAAAATTTAGCACGTTTAATTTTTTTTTTTTAACAATGCCATTTCCCACCAAGGCAGGGTGACCCAAAAAGAAAAAAAAAAAAAACTTTCATCATTCATCACTTTCACCATCACTCATACAAAATCACTGTCTTTGCAGAGGCGCTCAGATATGACAGTTTGGATGTCCCTCCAAACTGCCAATATCCCAGACCCCTCCTTAAAGTGCAGACATTGTACTTCCCATTTTCAGGACTCAAGTCCGGCTAACAAGTTTCCCTGATTTAAATTAATATAAGTGAAAGCTCACACAGGTTGTCACATGTACTTTACTTCATTTTAAATATCTGGATAATGAAATTTGTTTTAATACTTATTATTTTCTGTTTTAAACTAATCATATTAAGTTGAAGGTTTTAATGTTATGTTCATAAATGTAATACAGTAGTGATTAATGTTCTGTATTAGTAATAAGACTGTAACTGAAAGCTGAAATAAAATATTTTAAGTAAAAGCTCAGTTACTGTTATTCACTGAATGTCTTGTGCTGAATGACCCACAAGGGTTTAGTGCTCAGCATGAATTTTTTTTTTTTTTTTTTTTTTTTTACAAATGCTGACTAGAATTAACGTTTGCAAATGTTAAGTTTTGAAAGGAAACATTTCCAGTTAAATTATTATTCCAAAATGGGCTGTTGTATAATGAATTAAATAAAGAATAAAAAGTTGTAATACTGAGGCTACAACAATACACAAATAATCTGCACTTAGGAGAGGGAAGGTACTGACAATGTTTCGGTCTGACTTTCACCACTGATAAGTCACACTGAAACAAGAAGGTAAGCAGGCCAGAATATATGAGAGGGCAGAGGAAGGAAGGAGAGGTAATGGTAGTGAAAGATTGGTGATGGTGGGTGGGTGGGGGTTAGGTGAGGTAAGAAGGGGTAGTGGTGGTGGTAGTTATAGTAGTGGTAAGTGGTATTGAAAGTAGAAGCAGTAGTGGTGGTGGTAGCAGTGGTGGTGGTAATAGTAGTAGTAGTGGTAGGGTGACCCAAAAAATAAGAACGACATTGTCATTTATTCAATCACAACCACCAGTAGCCTTTCCAGGACCACCTGAGCTGGCTGAAATATTGCAGTTGAGCTTAAACCAGTCTCCCTGCAACCTCCAGTTGTAAGAGGTCTTAATGCCAATTGTTGTGATCTTACCGTTAGGCACAAACTGGAACTTAGTCAAGTTACTCAGAACAAATTTTGAATCACCGATACTACTTGAAAGGTGGTCAGGCTGCACAACTATTTCCTCCCAACTGTTGCAAATTAATGAAAAATTTCCCAAATTGTCCAGTTACTCAGATCTCTGCTTCTTAATTGTTTGTCTTCTCCAAGTGCTTTGTTTGCAGTGTTTGCACTCTGGAAGACCAAATCTAACTAAAATATCAAAATTTTTCTGCAGTGTGCCTGAGGTATTATAGCCAATATGTCCAAGGTTAAGAGCTCCTTGGCCTAACTTTGAAATTCCAAGCCCCTGCTGGAAGTTTGGCCAACCAAACCCAGTAAGTGCTTTATTCATCTCCAAAATTTGTATAAACTGCCCTTAGGGAAGTTAAATAACACAAAACCTTCACAATGACTGTGGATGAAGATTGGTATAAATTCACCTAATGTTTTGTTAAATGTGTGTATCTTTCTTTCAACACACCGGCCGTATCCCACCGAGGCGGGGTGGCCCAAAAGGAAAAACAAAAGTTTCTCCTTTCACATTTAGTAATATATACAGGAGAAGGGGTTACTAGCCCCTTGCTCCTGGCATTTTAGTCGCCTCTTACAACACGCATAGCTTACGGAGGAAGAATTCTGTTCCACTTCCCCATGGAGATAAGAGGAAATAAACAAGAACAAGAGCTAGTAAGAAAATAGAAGAAAACCCAGAGGGGTGTGTATACATATGCTTGTACATGTATGTGTAGTGTGACCTAAGTGTAAGCAGAAGTAGCAAGACGTACCTGAAACCTTGCATGTTTATGAGACAGAAAAAACACCAGCAATCCTACCATCGTGTAAAACAATTACAGGCTTACGTTTTACACTCACTTGGCAGGACGGTAGTACCTCCCTGGGCGGTTGCTGTCTACCAACCTACTACCTAGAAAATGTGTGTATACCCACCGAAAATATTGTAAATGCCTAGCAACCTTTCTTATTCCTCAATGAAGATCTCGTGAAGATCACTTTCCTGGCCCTTATTGCTGAGACTTGCTGCTTGCTTTCATGCAGATTAAAGTACAATACATGAATGCCATAAACATTTTACTGAAAGAGATGCAGAGATAGAGGAAATGTATATAGTGAGGTGCCTTGATGCAGGTGAGGAGGGACTCTTGACTCAAGGAATTGGATTTCTTCTCCATCCTTAGGCTGAACTGACTGTCTTCCATTCTTCAAGTGCTATATGACCCCCTATGGCCTTACCACTTTCCCCTAAATATAATACATATGACCCAGCATGGCCTTTTTTCTTGCTACTCTCAGGACAGACCAATAATATTGTGTGCTGTTTTTGTACCTCTATGGCTCCCGTATCCCTGAACGTGATAGTCAGGTTTCTGGGCCTCCTCTTTGACCGTAGGTTATCCTGGAAACCTCACATTACCTCTCTGAAGGCAACTTGTCACAGCCGGCTGAACCTTCTTAAAACCCTTGCTCATCTTTCACGGGGAGCTGATGGTCGAACTCTCCTTTACCTACATTCCGCCCTCATTTTATCGAAACTTGATTATGGTGACCAGATCTGTTCAGCGGCCTCTCCTGCTACTCTCTCTAGCCTTAACCCCATTCATCACCAAGGATTACGTTTATGCCTTGGTGTTTTTCGCTCTTTCCCTGTTGAGAGCCTCTATGCAGAAGCGAACGTTCCATCCTTATCCGATCGCAGTGATGCCCATTGCCTTTGCTACTATGTACGTTCTCATGATCTCCACAATCCTTCCATTTATAGAATGGTCACTGACATTAGTAGACATTCTTTATTTATTCGCTGCCCCTGTTTACTCCGTCCCTTCTCTCTTCGCCTACATTCGCTCTTGTCTTCTCTTCAATTACCACCTTTCTATGTTCATGTAGCATCTCACTTTTCCCTACCCCCCTGGGAAGTTCCAGCTGTTCGAGTCTGTTCTTTCTCTCCCTTGCTCGAAAGCCCAACTGTCTATGGTAGCTTCCCGCTCTCTTTTTCTTGACCACTTCCACTCTCATTCTCATGCCATTGCAGTGTACACAGATGGCTCTAAGTCCTCTGATGGCGTAGGATTCGCAGCAGTGTTTCCGGACAGCATCGTACGAGGGCATTTACTATCTTCGGCTAGTATTTTTACTGCTGAATTGTATGCCATTCTTGCAGCACTTATCTGTATTGCATCTATGCCTGTGTCATCATTTGTGGTTGTCTCAGACTCCCTTGGTGCTTTACAGACTATACAGAAATTTGATACACCTCACCCCTTAGTCCTCCATGTCCAACTTTGGCTACGCCGCATCTTTACCAAGCATAAAGATAGTTTTTTGTTGGGTCCCTGGTCATGTTGACGTACAGGGCAATGAACAGGCAGACACTGCTGCGCGGTCAGCAGTATATGACCTACCAGTTTCATATAGAGGTATTCCATTTACGGACTATTTTCCTGCAATAGCTACCCACCTTCACACCCGTTGGCAGCAACATTAGTCTGCTCTGCTCGGTAACAAACTTCAATCTATTAAACCGAGTATAGGTTACTGGGCATCTTCTTGTCACCAGTGTCGAAGTTGGGAGACTACTCTCTCCCGTCTTCGCATTGGCCATACTCGTCTTACTCATGGATATCTCATGGAGAGGCGCCCTGCTCCTCTGTGAGAATTGTCAGGTTCCATTATCAGTCAACCACATTCTGTTAGACTGCCCACTTTGTCAACGAGCACGCAGAATTTACCTCCATCGTCGTCTTCGCTCCGCTGCTCTCTCTTTACCTTCCCTTCTCGCTGATGGACCCACCTTTCATCCGGACACTCTCATTGACTTTTTGACAACTGACTTACTTCACAAACTCTGATACCTTCAGCCCTTTCTACCTCAATCTCTTGCTACCCTCTACCCCCGCACTATCCCCTGCCCCGCTGTTTTCTGTAACTTACTGATCATCCCTCCCCCCTTCTACCGCCCAATACCCTCGCTTCCTTCCCTACCCTGCAGTGCTGTATAGCCCTTGTGGCTTACCGCTTCTTTTTTATTATAATAATAAAATTGTGTGCTGTCTCACTTCTGATTGGGTAGGAGAGGCAATCCTTCAATGGAGGTACCTTGATACTGGTGAGGGGCCCCTAATCCAAAGAATTGCATCCATCATCCCTTTCCTTAGATTGAACTTGATTGCTTCCCATTCCCAAGGCACTGTATGACCCCTATGGGTTTAGCATTTCTCACTTGCCCTTGAATATACTAGGAGGGGCAAGCATCATAGCAGACAGGTGTAACAAAGACATCTGTTCCTTGGGGAGAGGGAAAAAGGTACACTAAACCCTTAATTTATCAGACTAATAGGGGGTGTGGGTGTCTACTAAAGCTTGTCATCTATTAAATCTGAATTGCAGGAATGTTTTTCCATGATTGTAACAGTAATGGACAAGTTTTAGATTTAACCCCTTCAGGGTCCAAGGCCAAAATCTGAAGTGGTGCTCCAGTGTCCAAGAAATTTTGAAAAAAAAAAAAATTATTTTTCTTACAGAATTAAAGAGCATATTTTTGTGATGGTAATAAGACAAAAAAAAAATTCTGATCAGTACTTACCGAGATACAGTGCCGAGAAGTTTGTCCAAAATGACCTGGTGGCGGCAACATCGACGATTTCCACATACGTGCATTACTTTATTTAGCAGTTTTTGTAGTTTTTTCTTTTCCTACTAACATTTGGGGCCTGAGAGACCAATACTGTATATAATATATATATATAAACTCACTGTATTGAACACAATAACCGCACTAAAGTTATTATCATATTATTGTTTACCACTGTTGTTT